CCAACCAAAAATCTGATTGCTAACATGAGATATAAACACATGCCACAATACTTTCACTTGTTGGTCTTAGAGCTTGTTTTCAATGGTTAGCCCTTTGAATAAGCTTTCCGAAAAGTCCAAGATCATTAAAATCAGAGTTCGGGGCTAAAAGTTATGGCATTTTTTTAAAGTGACTTTGTGCTGCTTTTTGGAGTTTTGGATGTTCCAAAGTTTTCATCAGAAGTTTTGATACACTTCAGAAGTTAAGATTTTGCACTAGTGTTCATAGGTCCGTGCAACTTCAGATATCCATTATTGCTATTTGGATTGAGCTCATTTGTTTTTCCAACTGTTGTGTTTTTTTAATTTTTAACCCCAAAACTATAAAATCTTGTAAATTTGTCATCTCAATTCTTAGACCATTCAATTTTGACCTCTTAACTTGGTTTTGACGGTTTTCATGTAATTTCGACCCACCTACCAGCGTGGACCCACTTATAATAGGCTATATCTCTTTTTTCTCACTCCGTTTCTTAGCATCATCACCTCCACCTCCATCTCGTCCTCCCTCTCTTCCTTCCCCGTCTATCTGCCGTCGTTGTTGTCTCTCTTCCTCTCAATCCATTGCCTATAGCATGTAGGTCAGTAGGATAGGTGTGAGACTGAAGCGCATGGTAGGTATCCACATCATCAAGGTTGATCCCTATGAGCGGGGCATGGTAAAAGCGTGTTGTGTCCTCAGCGTGTGAATCCATGATAAGATTTTTTCTCAGGGTGCATCCACCACTAGTAGTACAGGTAACCGCCTACCATCCCTTGTAGTACAGAGACGCCTATCCCTGCATCGTTGCTCAAGATTCATGTATTCTGCCACTATCATCCTGTCTTGTTCCTCTACGCTCCCACAATGGCTACCCGTCGAGCAGCAACATGCCACTACTACTGTGGGGCACTAGCAGGCAATACTACCACGTCGATGCCAGGACGCCCAAGATCCACTACAAGCCTAGCAAAACCTGATGGATAGTGCACGCACATCGGTTTGTCATCTCTTAAGATCCAATCCACCACAGGATGTAAAAATCTAGCACTGTCCTAGACTCCCAATCATAGCCAAGTCTTCAACGAGTAAACATGTACACAACACTGCATATATTGATTCATATTAGCTCTTTCCTTCCGGTCTTCAATGAAATCATGTTGATAATTTGACTTCATTATTGATTATAATATGTTTTTTCTTTCTCCACGATTATGAGCTGACTCGAGGTACCAAACGACGTATCGGACGTTTAACTTCTTATTAGGATAAAACCCCAGAACGATATGCATGAATCATGTAGTCTTTATAGATGTGTCCATATTATTATTAGGCTTTAACTGTTTTATTGTGCCTATCCATTTACAATAAAAAAGATGGCTAATAAACCAATATATTTTGTTACCTCAGCACTGAAGATAAACTGTCTTGACACGGTCACCTTTGCCATGGTTCAAAGAGAATATTTTAGAGAATAGATGGGGATAATGTGGCTAACGAATTGATGCATATAAAAAAACTTAGAGTGAAATATATAGCAAATTAATAAAAAAAACATCTCGATTCCAACCTTTGACAACCTAAAGATGCCAGTGGGGCAGGTTTGAACCCGAAGCGCGTGGGTTTCAGATCAAGAACGGGTCCAGATTTCGTGCCACCGGTTTGTGGGTTCGCATATTCCGGCGGGTGGGGGCGGGTTTTACCTCTCCCCCGTGAGTGCCCATCGGGGACCCGAAATGTATCCCATCCATTCAAAAAAGCCTCCCAGGCGCGGTCCATTGACCTGTAACCCTAGTATATGTAACAGAAGCCCACCAAGCGCCGCCGCTCACGCTCCCGCACCCCGCTCACTCCCGCACCCGCACAGGAGCCGCCGTCCCTGCGGCCCACCGCCCTCTCTGTCTGCAATGACTGGGTGGACTACCGCCGCCGCCGCCCTACCCCAGGTGGTGAGGCCTTTGCCTACCTCTTCGCTGGCGATGAGCGCCCACCAGGTGAGTTCTCAAACTGTAACCTACTATTTGGCTATTTGATGCCTACTAACTTCTAACTTTTTGCAAAAATGATTGGGTGTATATGTGTACACCCATGTCCCTTTACTAGATCCGCCCCTGATTTGATGGCTACTAACTTCTAACTTTTTGCAAAAATTATCGGTACATTGTACACCCATGTCCCTTTACTAGATCCGCCCCTGACCGCGATAATCATGTGATTCTGCTGCCTTTAAGGATCGGGCTTTCAACCCATTAACCTGTGATTGCTCTGCTAATAGAGCTATTGTGCGTTTTACTGATTTTTTAATGTTCGAGTCTACAGATCTAATCCATTCACTGTTAGGCAATGTTGGAGAATTTTGGCCCTCTTTTTTGTGTGTCTTGGGTAGCATATAGTTTTTGCGAATAGATCTAAGCAGATCTGGGTAGTTACATTTACAAATTTAACTTGAAAAGCACAATGAACACTAGATCTGTCAATACTTTACCCTGTCGAAAGCTACTGTCACTCACAATTTGAGGTCACTGTTGTATCGGGTACTAGTTGATTGTGCCTGAGGATTTTTTTAGGTTGTGGGTAATTTATTGAGGATTTTTTTAGGTTGTGAGTAATTTATTGATTGGGGCACGTCTAGAGTAATTTATTGATTGCGGCAGTGCTGGCACAAATTAAAGACAAATGCACACATGGAACTGATCTGGTCATAAACATTAGTTAGGTTTTAGAGGGCTGTTTTCATTCTCAAGTTGCCACAAGCTCTCATGTAGTTAGAAATTTCTAAGCCAGAAACCCCAGATAATTTTGCTGCCCCCCTAGACTTTCTAAATGTGCTACCTTGGTTACTGCTCTTTCTTTCACTTTATTTTTCTTTTGTAGTTGGTGACTGATGATTCTCACCTATATATCTGATTGCTTTATTTATTTTTTGTGGAGTATGTTGCAAAATATGCTTTGCTTTGTTAATTTCATCTTTTCCTTCTAACATTGGCCTGTGCTTTGTGCTGATGCTTTCTTAGGTTCAAACTGTAAATGGTGGAGCTGAAATATATAATGAAGACCAACGGGCAATATACAAGTAAACTTCTTATCTCTTTTTGTAAATATTTGCTCTGCGACTTAAGTTGGATAAAAATGAAATGGATGATTTTGATTGTTTTTTCAAGGTTATTATCTGGAAGAATCAAATCTGAAAATGTCCCTGAAAATAAGGATGGATCAGATGACGATGATGACGACGACGATGAAGACGAGGATGAAGAGGGTGGTGATGACGACGATGATGCTGAAGAGGATTTCTCCGGAGAAGAAGATGGGGGTGACGACGATGATGAAGATGATGATCCTGAGGCTAATGGTGAAGGAGGGAGTGATGACGACGACGATGATGACGATGGTGATGATGATGGCGATGATGACGATGAGGATGACGATGAAGATGAAGACGAGGAGGACGACGAAGATGAGGAAGAGCAGCCACCTTCCAAGAAGAAGAAGTGATTTGCTCTTCCATTGATCCACCTCAGCTTCTCCATGCTGTTAGTTGGGTTGTTTAGATCATGGAACAGCTTTGGGACCAATGTAGCTTGTTGCTTGTCGTGGTATCATAGTGTAGGAAAATTTGACCTCTGATGTTAAATCATTATCTTGTTTTCTTCACTGTGCATGTAGTCTTAAATCGTGTGTTCTTGATTTTTACTTTATTGGAGCTGTGATTGTGCCATTCAATTTTATTCTGTTACTCACCTCAGGTTTGGATTGTATGTGATGCTATTTGTTGCTGAGAAGGTTAGGCTTGGATTGTATGTGATGCTATGTCTGTTACTGAGAAGGTTAGGCTAGGCCAGAATTGATGCTGGAGCATCTTTTAATGTGCTTCCAGCATCATGCATTGTGCTTTTTGACATGTATATTATGAACCATTATCCAAATTCATGGTTTGAACTACATACACCTATTGATGGTTTGAACTACACCTCTCCTATTGTTGGGAGCCAATTTATCTTGACTTATAAGTCGTACTTTTTCAGTCAACGAATAGTATTTTTCTCTCATAATAAATCAGCCAACAGTACTTTCTGTCATGGCTTATCAGCCAAGCGAACCGGACACTCATTTATGATTTGAACTGCACTCTAGGTACCATTTACACCAGTGATTGGACTACAGGTTTGAACTGCACTCGGTACCATTTACTGAGCATTGGTTCCACCAGTGATTGGACTACAGGTACCATTTAGTGAGCATTGGTGCATTAGTTCGAGGTGTCTGACCGGTGATTGGACAACAGTAGTAAGACTTTACAGCATCTAGGCGTTGTTTAGATCCCATCAAAATTTTAAGTTTTTCACTCTCTCCATCACATCAATTTTTAGATACATGCATAAAACATTAAATGTAGGTAAAAAAAATAATTAATTACACAGTTTGATTGTAAATCACGAGATGAATCTTTTAAGCCTAGTTAGTCCATGATCAGATAAAGTTTATCAAATACAAACGAAATATGCTACGGTATGTCCGGATTGCAAAAATTTGCAATGTAAACAAGGTTCTAAAGGGCATTTAGTTTTACATTGCAGTATTACACTATTTGATCATTAGTGATCGGACTACGCAAGTAAGCCATCATCAGTAACTGAAAAGGTATTTAACTAAAAATGCACTGTTGAAAGTAAAAAAAAAAAACTTGAAGAAAGTGACATACTACAAACGGCCTGACGGCACACATTCATCTTCATGACAAACACAGTCCTCTTTCCCTTCCAAAATCATATCAAAATGTGAAAAATAACCAGAAAAAAAGCCTACTATTATACTATATACGCGTAAGCATTGTCCCCTTATCAGTGGCTTCCTCTTATCTGCAACTGACTGAAAAGGAACATAACATCTATTCCCTGCCCTAGAGCTCCATTCTTTTGCCTAGACTAAAAAACGAATTTTCCTTCTGAAACGATCCTTCTGTGCAGAGGAGAACCATACATCACGGTTCTGACTTGGAAAAATCCTGGGGCTCACTGCTTGCAAATGCTAACCATACAGCAGTACCAGTTAAGTAAAAGAAGATAGAAGGCACAAAGAGTGATATCTGCACACAAAGCAGTACCATTATGGTGATCAGAGTGATTCATAAAATGCAATATAGCTTATGAAGATGGATTGATGTCATACACTCCAAGAATGAGTTGAATCAAGCAGAAAGCCTGTCAGTGCAACGCCTACAATTCCTGGCACAGCGCCTACAGTGTTTGTGATTCCCTGGAGCATGAAGGAAACAAATAAATAACAATCACTCATGATGGAACCTAAAGAGTACAAACTGTCAGTCAGTCATCCTCTTAAGAACCTAGGCGAAAGAATGTTACGTTCCTTTTTCTCTTATAAAGAAGATAAATACAGAAAAATTGACAAGACAAAACTTTAATGACATACCAGGAGAATGCTTGCATATTCACGAGAGATATCTTGATGGGTGCAATAAAGCCCTGTTTAACAACCAAAATATTTAGGTTTGGACCTCAGAACCAGGCAAAAAATGGAAATTTGATTGCAATTTTAACAACATGACCTGACAATGCGAAGCTGGAGAGTGCTAGACCACTTGTAAGAAAAGCAACAATTTCCCAGGGAGGCAGTCCAAGATCCACAGAGGAAAGCATCATGAAAGTCGCAGGTGACACAAAGGCAATTGTTTGGCAAATTTTTCGTACCTACAGAATTTAAGCAGCATATTCAATTTTTTCAGTAGTTCAGCAATTTTTATTCTATGAGCTAACTGAAAATGCTATTATGAGTTATCACACAGCATATATTATGTTCACTCCTGAGAATTGCCAGGTTTATACAACCTCTATATTGGACTTCAACTTGAGGAAGCCAACAGAAGCAATTTGGGAGTCTAGAGAGTATTGGAGTTTGCTGCAAGCAGCAGGGACTGGCACACGGTAGTCAATCAAGGGCACTGTACTAGTAGTACTAGTGAAGTTTAAGAGGGCGTGTCGAGGACACGTCTAGTTAAACAGAGGTGGGGCAGCACAGATTCAATTAGTTCTAGCTCCAGTTCCCACTTGTCAATCGCTTGTACTAGTGTTCAGCTTAATTCTACCTCATCAGATCATGTAAGTGTGCACCTCACACCCCGCGTTATAATCCATTTTGGAACAACCTTCTTCTTCATACATAGATATGCACTTTCCTGCATATTCTAAAAAAAAAGCAAGCAAAGTATCACCCTACTTCCTTCCAGCTGCTACCAGCCCCTCTTGCTTTCTCTAGCACCAGCCCCCCATCACTATTCTCTAAAATCTAAATGCCAACCATAGTACCTACACAACTGAAGTTTAACACTCTGCAACAAAGGCATACACAACCACCTCAAGTGGAGGTCAAATAAAAAAAGTGAATGCTTTACCTTCGTGGTGTCAACTCCATTTGATATCAAGTTGTCTGCAAAAGGTGCTGCAATAGATGTAATGATCATTGAACCCAAAGGAGGAAGGACTGACACCTAGAGGGAAGAAAATGTGAATTCAAAAGCACTACGGAGTAAAAGCTAGATATCAATGAAAAACAATAGCAAATCAAGATCGCCTAATGAGGGTGGGTCTTTCAATATGAGGCCTTATTACTATAACTTAAGAAAGAAAGCATGTACATACCCATGCTGCTTCTGTCAAGTTCAGGTTCAGCTCCTCACTGTGTAAGAAGAGTTGGGGGGTCAGTAAGAAGCTATTGTTACAAATATTTGACACAACGTAATGATTAATGATGACCATATAGCAACATTTAACTAACACTTCCCTACATTTATAGATCATGGGGTAACAGGTCATGCTATAGACTGACATATAACATCAAATGTAGCGATAATGATGAGAGAAACTAGAACAATGTGCTGTAAATTCATGATATCTGATTTCAACAATGGTCCCTTTCTCTAACTACTATAAAGTAACTTTAGGAGGAAAATGCAAGGTGCCAAACCTAAAGAATGTTGGTAGCCAAGACAAACAAGTATAATGCCCCCAACTTCCACAAAAGTGTGCATATATCATTGCCCACACCGCCTTGCTTTTGAAAAATGCTCCCCAAGGCACATCCTACAGAACATGTAATGAGCCTGCTATGTTGGCAACATTTATAAAACACAAACAATCTTTATACAGAAAACATTGCGTCCATTTTCTAAGATGTTTACATTGCAATATTGCATAACAAGATTTCTTGATAGTGTGATAAACTTCATTGGCACATAGTCGAATTAGATTTTGCTCTTCTCAGACTAAAAGTTCGCTTCATTGCAAGTACAGTGTGTTGATGCCAACTTGTTAGGAAGATAACGTCGCAGAGGAGATGAAAATGAGCAACAAACTGGACACTAAATTACATTGGTTATTCTACCTTGAGTATGGAACTCATTTTTTAAATTTTTTCATCAATGTCAGAACTTGATAACAGTTCTGTGACTTGATCCCTGAAAATATAGTACAGTGTGGTCTCGGTTGGCAGAAAACAACCTTTAGTGAATTTTGCAGATCTTCCAATGACGAGTGTGATGATTCCGAACACATGGCGGATGAGATAAGATCATCAGATCCAGTAGAACTTTGTCCGAGATCTGCAGAGTAGAAGTAACTTTTATAATGTTTGGACTGATTATATGAGCGAAGTGTAACAAGCATGAGGTGATAGTTAAAAACATACTTTTAGATAAAATAATGTAGACACAATTAAGCTCAAAGGGTAGTCAACAGTGATCATATAGAATACCTTCTATTAAAAATGAAGAAGTCAAAGATAGTGCAAACTAGATTAGGTATAATCATGCAAACCATCTTGGTTAGTGCATAAAATCAACTTGATACATGGACCTTTGAGGAGGTAGTCCTTCATGTAATGACCCAACAGTAGAAGTTTTTACTCCAAACATGACTTTTTTTTTCTCAAATACGCAGGAGATGCGAATACAGATAGTAACTAGCAGAAACTTGATCAAGGAAATTCTCCACGTCTTTGGTGAGGCATCAGGTCTGGTTACTAGCATTTCTAAATGTTTCATGAGTCCAATCCAATGCAGAGCACCAAGATATTGAAGTTGTGAAAGAGGCCTTCCATGCAAAATGCAAGAATTCCCCTGCAAGTATCTTGGCCTTCCACTCTCTATCAGCAAACTTTTTAAGGCAGATTTTTGTGCAATAATTGACAAGATTGCTGATAAGTTACCTAGATGGAAAGCAAGTATGATGCATCGGCCACCCTCATCCGTTCAGTGCTCACAGCTATTCCAATTTATCAGCTCATAGCATTGGAATTCCCTAAATGGGTAATTAAAGCAGTTGGTAAGATTCGAAGAGCTTTTCTATGGAAAGGCCGCAAAGAGGCCAATGGAGGCCATTGTATTGTTGCTTGGGAGCGGGTCAAGACACTAATTTTTTTCTCGGACATGCAGGAGAGCTGTGTATATTTATATTATAGAGAAAGAAAGGGGATAGAAGCCCCATACAAGGCAACCTCTATGCCTCGCCTATGAGATAAGAGAAGGTTGTAAGGAAAAAAACACCATACAGCACTCAACACCATTTTATAAGGAAGAAACGACCTGACCTGTCTAGACACTTACACTAGCACCTCTCCACAACCAAAAACTAGCTTCTGAAGTTTTCGAGCACCAGCGAAGCACCAAAGACTCAATTCCTCTTTGAAGGAATGTTGTGCCTTTGCTAGGGAAGGAGTTGCACCATCAAAAGCTCCTCCATTCCTGTGAAGCCGCAAGGTCCATGATCCCAGGATCACCATACTGTTAAAACCTTTTCTTTGGGCCTTCGCAAATTTTTTTTGTTTGCTTTTCTCCAACAATCAGCGAAGCTTTTCTTGTTCCTTCTAGGTACAGTGCGCTCAAGCCCAAGAGGGGCTACGGAATTATACCAAAATACCTAGAAAAACACAATTAATGAGGTTATGCTGCAATGTCTCCAGCACTTATTTCTAATCGCTTGCCATAAGAACAACTTGCATTTGGGAGGAGCCCATGACTTTCAAAATTGATCTGGGAGGTACGGGAATTCTTGATTTAGAGATCCTTGGATGGGCATTGCGAATGAGATGGTTGAGGCTTAGAAAGACCCAACCTGACCAACCGTGGGCTGGTCTAGATACCCAAGTGCATCCAATGCATTTGCTCTGTTCTCCATCTTGATCACATCTATTGTTGGGGATGGCAACATAACTCTTTTTTGGAGTAACAAGTGGCTACATGGAAAATCCTTACCTGACCTTGCACCTACTCTTTGTGCATATGTGAGAAAAAGAATTGCTAACTGAAGAACAGTAAACGGGGCGCTAGGAGATAACACCTGCATTCGTGACATTAGAGGTGTCAGCGGAGGCATTATCTGAATACCTCCAACTTTGGGACCCTCTAATCAGGATTGAGATCGGTCCTGGAGTAGATGACAGGCATATATGGATGCCATCCAGTGAGTTCACAACAAAATCAGCTTACTGCCATTTCTTTGTGGGGTCAGTGGAATTTGGGCCATGGAGGTAAATATCGAAGACCTGGGCTCCACCTCGATGCAAATTCTTTGTTTGGTTGGCCTCCTTAAACCGTTGTTGGATGGCTGATCGTTTGTCCTGTCATGGACTTGATCATCCGGAGTGCTGCCCATTGTGCGATCAAGAGGAAGAGACGGTGTAACATTTACTCACTTCTTGGGTATTTGAGTGTGTGGTTTTTAGTGCTATCAATTGTTGGGCTGCAGCACTTAGCTCCGGGCTTGGAGAACTACAAGTTTACAGAATGGTGGTGTCGTGCTTTACAGAGGGTTCCCAATTTATCTCATAAGAATGGCTGTATTTTTTAGGGGTTTTCTCCTAATCTTGCTGCCATCTTGTGGGATATTAGAGATGAGGCAATGTTATGGTGTATGGCAGGTGCCAAAGGGCTCCGTAGCAGATGGCCATAATTGTTTCGCTCATGGTCGCTGGTTGTGGTTAAGATTTGTTGGCGAATCCTTTTTGAAACTTCTTTGGCCCTATAGGGGTGTATGAGTCATCTAGACTCCTTTCTTCTTACTATAATGATGCACAGTTCTCCTGTGTGTTTGAAAGAAAAAAAAATCTAATACAAAATTCTAAGAAAATGTTTCTATCATAAGCCTGATATCATAAGGACAGTTAGACAGATCAGCACTTACTTAATATGCCTTCTTTGTCACCAAACCGTTGCACTTTAAGAGATTCAAATCCTAAGCACCTGCAGACAAAACAGAAAATAAAGTTCACTCACAATAGATTATTTGGTGCCTACATAGAAATATCTGCTTACCAAACAATCCCAAGAAGGCTAAATATGTAAAAGACAGACTCCCAGCCAAGGTTCTGAATGATGGGAGGGGCAAACAGGAGTCTGCAATGTAATAAAACGGGTAAAACATTAACTGTAGCAAAGCTTCTGCTATTACTTCAAGCTGCATAGTCATACAGACAAATGTAAGGCAATGTTGTTCTGATAAACAAGAAAAAAAGTTAACATCTGGTCGTTAAGGAGGTCTTGACTCTTGCTCAGTTATCAAGATTTGAAATGATACAACAAACAACCAAGTTTTCCATCATGCTAAGGATGCCAAAATTGCACTTCATCCATGTGCCTTGAAGAATGAAACAAATGAAACCAGCAGAACAGTCTCAACCAGTTCACGAGAAAAAGATTTAGTATTTTATCTTTCTAAATAAATCTTTTACTGCATTCTTCTAAGTTAGAGCAGGAAATACTTTTTAAAGCTTTATACTTACAAGGACAAAACAGTACTACCATCAATCTATATCTCTTATAAAGCTAATCCCCACTACAAATCCATCTCAACATGCAAGCTATCCACATCATCCCCCATTAACTATCCACAACATCTCCCACTAATAGCCATGTCATCCCACCAATTTTCAACTTCTTAATGCAAGCTATCCACATCATCTCCATTCAATTTTATTCTAATTTTTTCGTAATCCCCACAGCAACGCGCGGGGTATCTTGTTACTAAAGAAAGTATGTAAGCTACTGTTTAGAGCCGAACACAGATGGAAAAAATCCAATTTAGTTGAATTCAGCATTTTACATGCATTAGCACGTACATGGAAGTATGTAAATTGTTGCATAAAGGATCATGAAAATATTGGGCACCGTGTATATTTTTTCAATTAAGGAATATTTTATTAATTTCAAGAAAAATAACCATATATCTTAATACAACATACCCTAAGACACTTCCAAAGCTCAAACCACCAAAGACAACAGCAACTGCTCTTGATCGCTCTTGCAAGGGAATGGACCTGCATGTGAGTGCCAACGAAAGCCTGAAGTTTCAAACTACTCTTGCAAAATGCCAAAATGTATGTCATATGAAACAGTGCGAATTATAATAAAAATTAATGTGATTGACAAATGTAGCCACCACCCATGACTCTGCACAAGTAGCTATGGAAAATTTCATACTCTAAATATTAAAAGAGGAGCATGGGGGAAAATGCCAATACAGAAGCTGCCATATTGTGCTAGAATTTAGAACCACCACTATGTAGAAAACAAAATTGACACATGTTGTGCTAAGGGAAGTCCCAACAATAAATGTCAAGAAAGGAACCAAACTAGGATATGATCTTACCTAGCAATTAAATCTGTAGCAGCTGATGGTGAAACACCTTCTCCAATGCCTACCTAGCAGCATCGAACACAATTAACAAAGAATAAATGCAAACAAAATAAAGATGGTAAAATGTTTTTGTTCAATTTAACACACCCGAAGTATAGGTAACGAGATGTGATGACTGGACACTGTGCTCAAATGTGAATGCTCCAGAATTTATATGGAATTATGGATCAGCATGTCATAATGCTTCTGCATGGTAACGTGTTATTTCACTATCTCTTTGCAATACTTAGCTCTGGGAGTTCCAACACTTCTTGTAATTATCTTTGTTAAATACTACATCCGTCCCAAAAGAATGTCATTCTAACTTGGTCCTAAGTTAAACTGTCATAAGTTTGACCAAATTTATATAACAAAGACCAATATTTATGATACCAAATTAGTACCCATTGAATTCATCATGAAATATGTTTTTATAGTATACCTATTTGGTATCAGAAATGTTAATACTCTTCTCTAGAAACTTACCCAAAAATAGAATGGCATTCTTTTTGGGATGGAGGTAGTTATAAATGTGCCCATATGCACGGAATTAGGTTCTTCATGAAGAACTACATTTCAAGCGGCCGCTTGTGCTCAATATCTATATTAATGTTAACTGTATTACTCAATACAACCCCCATTCTCTCACTTCGAGGGATGCATTGACAAGGAAATAGTGAGATACAGACTACAGTATGGAACATGCCAGAACAGTTTAATGAATACAAGAGCACAATAAGTAGCGCAAATTTTGGATCAACAGTCCCTGAGCCAAGACTTTTGGTAAGTAGGTTACCAGGATCCTTGACAACACAAGCCCTGGCATAAACCCTGCTACAACAGGAATTATAGCAGTGGCCAAAGACCATGTCACAACACCGACCTCAAGCACTTTCCTACAATCAGCAAAAATATAGATAAATAGACATTATATATATTGTAGGAGTAAAATTTGAGCAAAATTCATCTGTTTTTAGTTGTAATGGTAATATAAAGGTATTTTCATCCTGGAAAAGGGGTAAAACAAATAAGGATATGTTCAGCTTATGAACCATACAGTAGCAGTTGGCAATTCCTACTTCATGAGCAGATGCCATTATTAGATCAGTATTTCATAAGCATAGGCGCTCTGCATTCGTAAATATTCAAGATGATTTTGTTACCCTAAACAAACCTTCCGCCAAACAATTTTGCCAGCCATCCTCCTGGTAGTTGACTCAACGCATAACCCCAAAAGAATGAGGACTGAACTAAGCCAGCAGTTGACGAGTTCCAACCATATTGATGTGACATTGGAATAATTGCGACACTCAAGTTAACCTGCAAAACTAGAATGTTGCAATGAATAGATGCTCCTCTCAGGAAAGGATGATACCGAGCATCCATAAAAGCTTTTATAGAACTAAATAAACATGTCGCGTGAAGAAGAGTGCATTAAACTGTAAATAGCAACTTCATTAAAAAGGGCGTACCCAGTGCAGTGCGGGGTCTGGGGAAGGGTGTCAGTGGCAAGCCTTACCCTCGCTTGTGCAATGCGAGGAGACCGCGACTCGAACCCGGGACCTTCCGGTCACAGGCGGCAAGACTCTACCGCTTGCACCAGGCCCGCCCTTCAAATAGCAATTTCATTACTTCAAACAATTTCATGCTCGTAAGGAAATGCCTAAAAACCCTGTTGGCCCCCAGTGAAGGTTACATGTTTGTACTAGTGATGCAAATGAGTACCAAAATGAGCCCTGAAAAATGTGACAAGTTAGATATGGCACGTTTCCTTAGAGCAAGCACAAAGACTATTGCATCAGTGGACTTCAGCTAAAGTTCTCTAAAGGAAACCCAGAGGGGGAAAAAACAGTAATCACAGCGTGTAGTATCATTTTGCCAGTTGCCACCCAAATTCCCAATGAACATCCAGTAAATGCCATTGGCGACACTTGCTAATTAATCATAAACCGTAGTTTTCCATGAGCAAAACTATAGCAGGTCAACAACTCGAATCCATACAATCATTTTAATCCTAGCAGCTCAAAATATCAGAGAGGAAAATCGTAACAGTGCAATTAGCCGGCTGTCAGCCTCACAGTCTGTCATCCCGTGCCAACTGGAAACTGCCAAGGACGGAACCGTCCACATGAGATACAAACAGGATGAGTCACCTTGTCCATGTTGCAGATGACGAAGGCGAGGGAGGTCGCGCCGATGAGCTTGTACCGCTCGGCCAACCCCTCCCACGGCGGCCACTTCAGCTCCAAAGCCCCGGCCACTTCCCCTTCCAGCTCCTCCTCTCCGCTCGCTCCATGCTCCTCCTCCCCAGCTATCCCCGAAATCGAGCGCTTCTCCACGGCGCTCGCGAACCCTCCCGCGCCCCCGCCGTCGCCGGGTGACACCCTCACGGGCCGGGGCCAGCTGCGGCGCCGGCGCGGGAGGGGCACGCGTGGCGGGAGCATGCGGAGGAGGGGCTGGTGGTGGCCGCTGCCGAGGAGGAGCAGGTGGCGCTCGGCCTGCAGCGCCGAGGCCGTCATGTCGTGGAGCTAGCTGCGAGCAAGGGGCGTGGAGCGTGGTGTTCGAATTCTTTCTTCTTTTTTTATCTCATTCTCGGCCCTCGTGGCCTTGTATTAATAGACGTGAGCTCAGCCAAATCGCGAGCTACCGTGTCAATTATGGCGAGCAGTGCCAGTATATCGAGCGGCCACGAGAAGAGGAAAAAGTGTGCGCAACTGTTGCGCTTTGAACTCTCTCTCTACAGTTGCGCGGCGGAGAGGAGAGCACGAAGCAGAGAGCGTGTGGTTGCCGTGGCACGTGGGCCCACAGCGCCATGGAACCGGGGCCCACGTGTTAGTCTACCGGGACCTGCCTAGCGACGCCACGTGGCCGCTGCTTGCCTCGTTGGCACCCCACATGCTGCCCGGCTGCCCCTCACGGCCTCACCGAAAGAATTGCGTCGCTGGCATCCCCACATGCTACCCTCACCGGAAGAAAACGAAAATAGAACGCAATCAACAGCAACCATGAAGCAAGCAAAATGTACCCGTATTTGCGACAACATTGCCGAATAAAGTCTGGGTTTAAGCTAATGTTGCAAATCTGCAATGCAAGTCCGGATATAAGCTAATGCAATGCAGGCAATTCTCTGCAAATCTGCATTGCCTAATAAACATGCATTGTCTAATAAATCTAGATACAAGCTAATGCAGACAATCCTTTGTATTTTTTTTGGACTCGAAGGAAAATAGTATTGTATCTATACCCAGCCTATCCGTGTATCCGTGTCCGGTATGGTATGTTCACGGCCGGCACAGTTCAGCCTGAGATCGAGGGGGTACTGTGGTTCAGAGAAGAGGATGAGAAAAAAGAAATAGAAGAGAAAAAGGGTTTCAGATGCAAAAGTGCAAGAGAGAAAGAAAAGGTTGAAGAATCTAAATTGAATTTAAGAAACTCGGGGATTCCTGATGTAAAAGTTTAGTCCATGTTGGGTCTCTTGCTGCTGGGCTGAAATCCGTCTCGTGGGCCTTTTGCGCCGGTGGACTGGGCCGAGCCGTGGCCTTGCTCCTTTTCTTTTTTTTCTTTTTTCTTTTTTCCGGTAAAACAACAAACTTGTAAATTACGTGGATATTATAGAAATAGAAAAATAAAAAATTAGCAAAATAATTTTTTTAACTCCTCTTGACTAGGTCTACACTCTAGAATAAAATATTTGGTGTAGTTATGGATCTATGGTTTCTTTCATAAGCTGATAGAGGATGTTTCCTTAGTCCTTTTGCAGTGAATTTTTTATGGTAAAATCTTCTATTGATGTGTAATCTATGGTAAAATTTTCATATACAATGGACGCATATTGACTGAGTTAAAGTTTAAAAGAAAAAACGATCCAAATGAAATACAACATAGGAGCACAAAGCACTCGAGCCCACACCACCACAGGTGACAAGTCTATCTCCCTGCAAATAGTGATGCAAGCGGGTTTAATACTCCTACATGTGGCCCGCACGATGCCGCAGCAGACACTTACAAAACTTGTGTATCTGCATGGCTCGGGCCTACGCTTGGTCTTGCTGCCACTGCGCAGAAGCGTCTCATTGCATCTGCGTCGGAAACAAGAATCGATAGGAAGATCAGGATTTCGTGGCTCGAAGGCCACGGCGGCGAGGCGACCATGTGGTGTTCACGGAGTGCGATGCCATGGAGCGGCGATGTAGAGCCAAGCTCGGCAACTGGGGCTCCAATCTCTACAAGCTCAGTGATCCTAATATATGTGAAGCATCCCATTGGGGCCAACGCCCACGATGAGGCTCTATCTGGGGCACTGCTCGTTAGCGGTGGATTAGTTATGGTGCTGGCGTTCCGACCACGCCTCACCCTATCCTGCATCACGCATTACGCTAAAAACAACAACGTAATGGCGCGGTGGGAGTGCACACTTCAAAAGGTATAGAGGAAGGACGACATGCCCTACATAGTCGAGCTAGAGGTGATAGTAGCTGTCTGTGCAGAAAGTGACCAACACGTAAATATTTATAGTTTTATCGTACATTGTGATCGGATATGGCCTAGCACTCAATGACACAGGGTTTATACTGGTTCAGGCAACATGCCCTACATCCAGTTTGATTCGGTCGGTGACTTTATTCCTGAGCCCAGGTGCTCAAAGTTTGCAGTGGGGTTACAAATGAGAAGGAGAAAGATGGGGGGTACAAAAGGTCCGGCTAGACTCGTCTGAGGGGTCGAGAGTGACGGGAGCTCCGCTATGTGCTAAGTGTTCAAGCGTGTGCTTGTGGTTTAAACTGGTGATTCTATTGTCGTGTCTTAGTGAACTGATCGATCTCTTTTGTTGGGAGAGAGCGCATCCCCTTTTATAGATGAAGGGGATGGCCTTACAAGTGAGAGGGAGAGAGTACATATGCTACTAAGTCTTGTTGCCCACGTCGACGGGTATAAGATGATGGTAGGCGCCCACAATACTGTTCAATGTCAAATACACGTGGAAGGTTGCGTCGTCTTCTTCAGGTATAGCAGACGTCGGTGCCTGCCACACTGCTGATACCCAGAGGCATGCAAGGAGTTTTACCATGTTCGCCTGATACGGTAAATACCGGCGCCCACAACACTGTCGATGCCTCAGAGGCACATGGGGGGAGCCTTACTGTATTTGCCTGGTATGGGGGTTGATGGCGCCCACAACACTATAGGGGAAAATGTTGACGCCTACAACACTGCTTGGGTTCTGTCATGCTAGGGAGGTCGCAGGGTACTATCCTACAGGTGTACAGTGTACGGTTCTTGGTATTACGGTTTGACTTGTGCGCCCTGCCTTACTTTCTTTGTTCGTTTCCTAGTCCTTACCGAGCGGGCGTCCCCGGTCGGTTGATTCCAGTCAACTCTGATTGTGCCAGTCGGAGAGGAGGTGTAAGCAGGGGTTCGGTGTTTTCCCGGTCGGAGAAGCGGGTCGGAGTCGGAAGTGGTGTTTTGGCCATGTCTTTTGGTCGGAGAGGCCATTCGGAGGCGGGCTGGAGACCGAAGCTAGCGCTCCGGTAGGAGAGGCGGGTCGGAGTCGGAAGCGGGCGTCGTTCCTCCTCAGCCAGGCCTTCCGGTCGTTGATTGGATTGCCCTTCTAGCCTGTCGTTTAGGTATTTGAGCCGGCCCAAGAGTTGCGCGTTGGTTCGCAATGTTGTCTGCTGGACCGAGCCTTTGTTGAGAAGCCGGTCCATGAGGGACCCCGGGTTTATGAACCCGACATGAGGCCCTGAGCCCCCGGGCGATTTGGGTAGAATCGTCTAGGGGATTTTTGTTTTGACGGCGGGTGCGCGCGAGCGCACCCGCGGGTGTAGCCCCCGGGCGATTTAGGCAGAATCGTCTCGGGGGTTTTCGTGTTGCCAGCGGGGAAGGTTTCGTTTCGTCAGCGGGTGCGCGCGAGCGCACCCGCGGGTGTAGCCCCCGAGCCCTCGGGCGATTCGGGCAGGATCGCCTAGGGGGTTTGTCAGCAGGTGTGTATGTGTGCATTTTAGTCGAGACAGAGTTGTCCTGGCGTTGGTGCAGCCCGCGCAATCGAGGCACGCGCAGCCGAGGTAGTTAGTTTAGGCATTGGGCGTGGTGGAGCTTGTGGATCCTGGCGTTGGTGCAGCCCGCGCAGCCAAGGCAGTTATTTTAGGGATCGGGCGAGACGGAGCTCGCGAATCCTGGCGTCGACGCAGCCCGCGCAGCCGAGGCAGTTAGTTTAAGGATCGGGCAAGACGGAGCTCGCGGATCCTGGCATCGGTGCAGCACGCGCAGCCGAGGCAGTTAGTTTAGGGATCGAGCGAGGCGGAGCTCGCGGATCCTGGCGTCGGTGCAGCCCGCGCAGTCGAGGCAATTAGTTGAGGGATCGGGTGAGGCGGAGCTCGTGGGTCCTAGCGTCGGTGCAGCCCGCGCAGCCAAGGCAGTTAGTTTAGGGATCGAGCGAGGCGGAGCTCACGGATCCTGGCATCGGTGCAGCCCATGTAGCTGAGTTAGTTAGTTTAGGGATCGGGCGAGGCGAAGCTCGTGGATCCTGGTGTCGGTGCAGCCCACGCAGCCGAGGCAGTTTTTAGGTGTCTTGAGCCCCTGAGCCCCGTTAGGCTTGGTAGGGGTCGGTTTTGAGTTTTGTGCATTACCCCATCCTCGGTTTCTCACAACCGGAGGGGCTGAGCTAACGTCACTTGCCTGATGGCTCGGGCTCAACTGATGCGTTCGGTGAGCTCGCTAACGGCTATGATCGAGTGAAATTCGGGTCCATCATTCGTGACGGGGTTGGCATAGCTCTCTTGTGGCATTCCACTGCTCCTTAACCTGCAACTCGGTAGATGCCTGGGTCGTTCTAGAGACTGACCCGAGTGGCCCACTGGCCTCCCCTTGATGGAGATTCTATGGGTTTGGTGAGGTTTAGGATCGAACGAGAAGGTTGAGAAGACCCTGTCCGCTTCGAGGCAGACTAGGCGAGGGCCACTCGGGGCTCATCTGCATTTTCTTCCCGGCTCTATTTGACGCGAGGCAGCCTCGAGCCCTTTGTGGGCCGGCCTTCGAACCCCGGTCAGGTCATTGCTCATGTTGAATGAGGCAACTGCCGCTTCGTGATGCAACATGGAGCATTGTGATGCATTTGACTACATACGTAATGCTTTAGCCCTCGAGCCCCCGGGTGATTTGGGGTAGAATCGTCCGGGGGGCTCAGGTGTATGGAATGAATGCGTGTATGGATGTATGAATGATTATAAAGAAAGAGCAGGGGTCGATAGTGTTACCTTGATGACTTGAGTGATGGGGTTTGAGGAGCTCCAATCGAAAATGTCTAACCGGGATTCGTGCTTGTCGTTCATGACGGAGTCAGCATGGGCCACATGGGGCGTCCCTATGCTCCTTACATGTCTCTCGGCGTTCTCTGAGTCGTTCGATTAGACTCAGGAAGCTCGTTGGTCTCTCCTTGCGGAGATCCCGTTGTTTGGATCTTCCCAAGTCCCGCCTAGGAAGGCGGAGAGCTGCATGCGCACAGTGGCGCCTTGTTTCTCACGCC